TTGATTCAAGTATAACGGATACCTGTAGGACTTAGAGAAAATCCTAAGGTCGGAAACTCCAACGTGTAGAATCAGCTACCGCAGCCTTTCAACTTAGACGTTAAGATAAACGAAAACGAACCCGGTGATAATATTAAAGAAAATGATTATGAAAATGAATGGAAAATTAGAATGGATAAAGGTAAAAATAATGAAATTAATTGTAGTGATGACAATAGTGAAGGGGAAGATAGAAATCAAAATTAAGATTATTTTTTTGATGAGAAATAACATTCTACATTGAAAGAATTAATGGAATATATTATATTTTAATAATATTACATAATAATAAATTCGTTAAAGTATATCAGAAGCTTTACGTTAAAGCTAAAAAAATATTTTGATCCTTAAAAAATATATATTGTAAATAATGTCGTCAATTTTTTTATCAGCCAATCAAATTTATAGAGATACTTCAGATATTTTATAAATTTTGAAGGTTAAAATCTGAACACCTTCATATGAAATATTCGGGTATTTAATAAATCTAAAAAAAAATTTGTATAGGGTACTGTGCATAGGGGGTATTGTGACTCGCAAAATATGGTATTTTATATGAAAAACAAAAAAAACAATTTCCTAAAATTCTTAATATTTTTATTAAATATATTTACAGAAATTATCGCCATTTTTAAAATGGTGTATACAATGCATGCATGCATAAAAATTCAATTTTCCATTAAGAAAACCAAATATCAGATTATCACATGATTATATCAATAATTAACCAATCAAATATAATCAATTTCAACTATCTCGTTTTCCCAAATAACATATTTCAATGCATGTATATTCATTCAACTCCCTAAAAATATACCAATAAAATACTACTACTATATAAATATTAAGTATTAAAAATTTTATTAAGGTTCGTGTTTTATCATTTTAAAACTCGTCTTTTATTATACAATGGAGTACCTTATTAGTACTTGCCTTAATTGCAAAAAATTTCTTTACTGTAAGACTGAACTTAGTATTCGAAAAAGAATATGTTCATGTAACAAAACTATTAAACCAAGTAAAAGCAACCAAACTGATAAAGTTAAAGTTGCATATCCTTGAGTTTTAACACCTAACTTATCACAAAAACAATTTGAATATATTCAACAAAGTATTACTCATTTTAGTTATTCATTAGATATTAACACGAAATTTAATTTTAATTTTTGTGCTACTTGTAATAGTGCTTTTCAAAGGAAAAAGGCTCATAACTTATCCAATACTACTCCAAATTCTTCTGCCTCAAACATTTCTATTCCAAATTCTTCTACCTCAAATACTTCTATTCCAAATACTTCTGTTTCAAATTCTTTTTCAAATTCTTCTATCTCAAACTCAAAAAAAGTATCTCAAAACTATCTTAACACAAATGATCATGATTTAAAAAGTGATGAATTAACTAATGAATTTGTGGTAATTGAATCAGAAACTGAACAAATAATTTTATTCAATTTGATAGTAAAACCTTCTGGTAGTCCTACATTACCATTTAAATAGATAGAAATAGAAATATCATCGTTAGATGATATTCTTGCAGATTTTCATCATTATGTTGAAAAACTAACCAGATTATGCATTCAGATTATTTGGTTACATTTAAACCAGAAAAAGTTACAAGATCTGGAGTACAGTTGGTAAATATGCAAGACTACAAGAAGTTTCTTTTGGATTATAAGAAATTATCAAATGGAAAGAAAAATATGACAATTATGACATCTTTAAAGAAAAAAGAAAAAAGAAAGGTAAAATATTTGCTAATTATTGTAAATTATTATAAAGCAATATTTAATTTATAGTATTTTTTTTTAGGATATTTTAGATTCTGAAAAATCGGATTATGAAGATACTAATTTGTATAAAAAAGAATAAAAAGAAAAGTACTGTGAAATTGGATGATTTTTCAGAAATATTACAACAAGAAGGACATGTAATTCATGAACTAAGAAAGCAATACAAATGTAATCAACATGATACATGCTTTATTAATGATAAATGATATACAAAGCTTACTGCAATGCATCTACAATACTGGGCTAAGAAAATTGTAATTATTTTACTATTTAAAATTATGAATTATCAAAACAATTATTAATTATAAGTTTTTTTATTTTTAGATTTGAGGTACTACTGATAATACTCAAATGCCAAACTTACCAATTTTTTCGCAATCCAATAGTATTAAAGAAAAATCTACAACACCTTCAACTCCAGCAAATTTAATGCCTTTTTTTTGCTATGCCATCTCAAATGGCTTCATTTACACAAAATTTAAACATAAATAATTCTTTAGGTTCATCATTAGTTTCAAAACAACCAATTTCACTTCCATCTCTTGATGAATTTTTTACTAAATTGGATGAATTATCAGGTGGTATTGAAGAATTTGCAAGATTCAAAAATATTTTTGAAAATGAGCGAATTACTGTAGATCAAATTTATGATCTTACAAATGTGAAATTTGATCAATTAGGCGTAAATAAAATTGGATGGCGTAGAGCTACAGTACAGCGTTACAAATAGTATTATAGTATAGGAGTATGATATTATAGTTAGTAATATGATATTATAAATAACAATAATTTCGAATTTTATAATAAATGAATTTTTTTTGAAATTAATATGCCTATTATAGTTAATAATATATTCTTTTAACCTTTAATCTATCTTTTTATTATTTAAAATGTCTTCGATAAAATTTTTATTTATTTTGCCATTATATAAGTAAACTTAATCTTTACAAAATATATTACATATAAATTGAATCTTCAAAAAATTTTGTAGCCATATGTGAAGTAATTTGAGTACATGCAACAAGAAGAGGATATTTAGGATCATTACATGAATTAACAAAATCTCTATATTTTTTTAGGAAAGATTTTATAACAGAAAAACTAGATTCAATAGGATTGAAATCTGAAGAATAGGGAGGTAAAAATTCAACACGTCTACCAAAAGATTCGATATATTCTATGAGATCTCTGTCATGATGGATTCGTGTTTTATCAAGTATAAGAACACTGTATTCAGTAGGATATGCATTTATTTGAGATACCTGGTATAAAAAAAAGAACAATGAATAAAAAAAATACATAATAATATTTTATCAGAAAAATTTTAACTTACTATATTTGAAATAACAAATTTTCTAAATCTTTCTTTGGAATAACTACCTTCTATTATATCTACAGCGATAATACCCTGTAAAGATAAGGCAGGTAGTATAGTGTATTATATTCCATACACGAACACATTCTTTTTAATTGCAAAAGTGTTTTTAAAAGAATATCCGTATTCACGAAAGAGTGTATATTCATTTTTAAAGCTTTGTTCATGAATATAAGTTGTTCAGACTTATATTCACACCTAACCTTTGCAATAAATGTGCTTCAAAGGAGTTCATTTCGTTCATGAGCTGCTTGATGTAACTTGTATAAATGAAATAATTAGTAATAAATAATGATGATCGTTATATAATTTGAAAGTATGAAATTTACCTTTTTTCTAAAGACCGCTAAAGAGTTGATTTAGAAACTAATTTACCTATTAATAACTCAAGTTCTCCAACTAATTCATCTAAATACTAATCCACTTTATTCTTGACTAATTCTTGCAATACCTAAATTGATAGTATCAATTAAAACTAATAATATAACATTTCTTTAATAAAATACACACCTTCATATCACTTCAAGTTAGTGTTTTGTGATGTCCTGACGGTCTTCGTCAAGGATCCACAACTGTTCCCTATCGCATATATATTTGTAAAATTTTCTTAACAGTACCTTTACAAATATGTAATAATTCGGCAATTTTTTCTTGATTATGATCATCATGATGAAGAAAAATAATTCTCCACTTCAAGTCTTCACTAAAAGTACGAATCATTTGGAAGTTTATACTTGTAAAAGTTTTGGAAATTGGGAAATCAGTAGAAATCGCAAACTTTAAACGAAATAAATTTCAAACAATATATAATAACTTAAGTCAAAACTTAAGAAATAGCTGTAAATAAACTTATTAGTCTAAGTTTTGCTAAGTAGTCACAGGAAAAAAGCACTATATGCTTGTTAGATTTAAAATTTTCATGAAAATCAGTGATTTTTTTTAACTGATAATTGACATAAGGTTACAATATTTTAAAACCGGCGATAAATTTTGAATTTACCAATAATCTTTAAAAGCTAAATATGGATCTTAATAGCACTTTTATCAGTTAATGCCAATTTTCAAAATATATTTAAGGAGTCACAATTTTTGAAGGTTTTTTTTTAAAAAAAAATAAAATAATAAAGTTTTTGAACTAAAATACTTATTACCTAATTTTTTTATAAAAATTATTATCCTTTCTCAACTGACTTTTTACTTTTAATTCTTTGAGAAATATTACCTTTTCAAATAATAAAAGTAATGAATGAAAAATCCTGCTCATTAGAACTTTCTGAGATAAGCAAAATAAAACTCATTTATAAAATTAATAATTAAAAACAAACTTATATTAATAATAATTTTTTGTACAGATCTAATGTATCTCAATTTTATTCTTTATCTTGGCTTGCTTTTTAATTTTAATTTTTCGGAAAATATCCTTTAAACATCATTCAAAAACTTTTGAACATTATACAAAACCTTTCAAATACATTTAATAGGTGGAGAATCTTTTCCATTAGAATTTTCTGAAAAAGAAATGATTGTATTTCTTAATTGTTTATATAGAACTGAATTATACACTAAAGATAATTTAAGTCAATAATGACTATTAACAAAGAAAAATCTAGGGAAAAAGCAAGTGTAATTAGTATCATATTTTAAATTCATTTATTGAGAAAATTTATAAAGTAAACGTATACTTATATATTTTAATAAACATTATATATAAGAATAGTAAAAAATAACTTAAAATCCTCTATAAGGTCGGTCAAGGTTTGATTAGTTTTTTAATCGTACAATTTTGCCAAACATTTAATTTAATACGTAGTTACCTAATATGCAGTATTAATTATTTAATTCCGCATATTCTATAAATTGAATTTAAGACTTATTTATGAAAGATTGACGTCTTAACTAATTAAACTAAGAAAACTTGAATATTTAGTTATATATTTTAACTTACTGAATTTTTTTTTTAAAAAAATATTATTATTATTATAATCAAAATAAAATTAAAAAATATTATAATGATTATATCTTTTGTGATTTTAGAATTATTTTACAATTATGCCATAATTTTATTGTTTTTATCATTAATTTTATTATTCTCGAACTCTAAAAAGAAATATACAATTTTTCTATGCTAAAAATATATAAACAATTTCTAATATTAACTATTTATTATATGAAGATGTGGAGACAGTAAGACTTGGTGTAACATTTTAGGGTGGATGAGAGGTAGCTTATTCTAATACCTGTATTAGAAGACTTTTATTCATGATCATTATATTTCTTAAGGTTAGTAGTAAGTGAACAAGAGATTTCAGATGCTACTGGTAGGGATAATGGAATTTCTGCATGATCTAGATAGAAATATCTTGGTATACCAGCCAGATCATTTACAAGAATATTTAGATACATAGTTATACCTGCGATCTGAATTCCTATAACACTAAATTGATTACCAACTGGTCTACATAATGCACTAATATAACTTGCCCCATCTAATGTTTCTCTCCATAACTTAACCTCGTCATCTGATTTTTAGAATTATTATACACAATATGTAATAACTTGATATACAATAGCTTAATAATTTTTTCATCTTGCTTCAATAAATCCATAATATCAGGTTTTTTTCCATCCGCTCACCAATTATTCCTAGATTTTTTTGAGCTTTGCTTGCTATACTTTGACGTTTCGCCTTACTTATATAAATATCACTATTCAAAAAATCGCTCAAACTCGTTCTAAATAAAGGAATTATGACATCTGTAATGTATGTCTCTTCACTTTGTTCATTGCGAGATGTATTAGTCATAATGCAGGATTGCTTCATATTTCACTACTGATAAAAAAGCGTGATTAATAAAATAATGTTTCATCAATTTTCTAATAAGCAAGTAACTTACATTATGCCTAGAATATATTCCGTTATTTTTACTAAATCTGTTTCACTTTCTTTCTATTTTTTATTGTGAGTTAAATTCTTCATAGATCTTGCATTCTTTGTATTATTGAAAACTTTCACAAAATTAACACACTTAGCGATAACTGAATCAAGTAAAGCACATTTCATATTTTCTCAAGGTGTTATAAAGATTTTTTTTTGTCTATTTCCTAAGTTTTTCATGATATCTGAATTATCACTTAAAACCATGCTTGCTTCAGAGTCTCGTCATGTAAGATCTAAAGATGATATACTTGCTAAACTTTGTTTAAGTGAATCATAAAGGTTTATGTCTACTTCTGTTAAAGGACGCTAAATATAAAAGCTTATTAGTTAAGCTTATTAGTTTAAACATAAAAAATCTCAAACGGCGTAGTAGTTACCTCAAGTTTAAATTTTAACATATTAAGATTTTCTTTTATTTCTTCCTGAGTATGGTCGAAAAGTAATTTTTTATTCATATTCAATGCTTTTAATGCTTTTAGCCCACGAACACTGATATATCTATTCTCCACCTACAGTAGATGTGATAAAAAAGTATTGGTATATTATTCTCATACTAAACTCATGAATTATTATTTCTATCACACGTGTGATTTCAGTAATTTTTAAAAAGATATATCGCATTATTTTGATTAGATAGTCACGTACAGTAGAGAGAAGCAGAAACCCAAGACATTAATCTTCTGGGCTGACACTTCCTGACCTTCAGCTATGATATACCAAAACTAAAGCCAACATCTACTATAGTATCGTCATTAAAAGTAAGAAACAAAAATCAAAATTTCATTTATATTATATCTGTAGTAATATTTCTAATACCTTAACTCTCAACTAAGATCTGTTAGTTTCGCTAACGATAAATTGACTGCCTAGTCAACTATTTTCCATACTTTAGTATATGGAAGTAGAATATTATTCTCTATTGTTAAATAAATTATGGATGTCTCATAAAGAGTATCAAATGATTCTTGTAATAAAAGAGCTTCAACCTTGGCTATTAAATTCGACATAGTAAAAAAAATATTAATAAAATGTATTAATTTGATATAATATGAAGTTTTCAATAACTTAAACATATACTATTCTTTAAATTATTTTTTTTTCAGAAGAAAAGTGTAAGACATGTGAAATGTGTATTGTAGATCTAAATATTGTAAAGGCGTTGGTAACGCTAAAACTACATCATATGAACATTTTATTTATTTTGCATGTGTTTATAATATTCAGAAATATAAATTCACTAGCGTGAAAAATTCACTATATACTTCCTTTTTGTGATTTGTGATTGATAAATAGGATCTTGTAGAATGTTGATCAAATTTGATTTTAGGTTTATTTTTTTTTTGATTTTGATTTTGATTCAATTTTATTAATTTTTAATTATATTTATTTTTATTTTTATTATATTAACAATAAATAATTTGATTACTATTTTAACAATAAGATATTTAATCAATTTCAATTAAATCATTTTTTGAACGAAGTATTATTTATGATATTTGAAAATTTCAATGATTTTCAAATATATGATTTATTAAAAAATATATCTTATAAATTTTATAAGATAAGTATTAGTATCTTAAAAACACGTATCCAAAATTATTCAAATATTCATTTATATAAGTTATATAAGTTATATAAATTTAAATTTATAGCAGATTTAATAATCATGAGAATAAAAAATATAAATAATAAATCTCAATTTAAAAGAAAAATTTTAGATAATTTTATTATTAAAAAAAATATATTTGATGACATTTTAATTGATAATTTTTTATTATGGTACTTAAACGGTAAAGATAAATTAAGTTCATTAAGAGAAATCAATTATCATTTATATTGAAAATGTAACAATTTAGTTAATGCTTTTTTATTTATTAAAGATAAATTAAAAAATACTATAAATAATAATAATTGGAGAATGTCTGTAAGTCATAGAAATAATAACGGGTTTATAAAAATGAAAAAAGTAAAAGATTTGAAAATAAATATTTAAATTATATATCACAATTTTGGCGTTCTGAAATGAAATATAATGTAGAATATTATAAATCAAAATCGATCGAAAATTAGATAAAACATGAAAATCAAAAAGGTAATTCTATATTCAAAGCAATTTTTTATAAACAATTTGAATATAGTAAAGAATATAAGAATCTTATTACTATTGAATTAGAATTATCAGAAGATCAAAAAAAAATGATTGATGAATATATGAAAGAATATAATTTTTCAAAAATACAAAAATGTAAATTATATGATCAGAAAATTATAAATAGACAAAATGAAGATTAATATTTGTTAGATATTATTTTATATAATTTATTAAATGATATTATAATGTGTTTTTTATAAAAATATAAAATGAATTTTTTTTACGCATAGTTATTTCTTTTTTACATGTAACCTCGCGAATATTCTGCATGTGATTATTTCTTTTTTTTGTAATTTTTTTTTCATGTTACATGTAATCTCGCGGACATACTATGCATGATTTATTTTTTTTGTAGGTATTTTTGTAGATGATTTTTTACATGTTACATGTAACCTCGCGCGTTGTAACCTCGCAGATATTCTACGCGTGGTTATTTCTTTTTTTGTAGGTATTTTTGTAGATGATTTTTTACATGTTACATATAATTTCACGCATTGTAACCTCGTAGATATTCTGCGTGTGGTTATTTCTTTTTTGTAATTTTTTTTATACCTCGTGAATATTTTACGCGTAGTTATTTTTTATAGGTATTTTTGTAGATGATTTTTACATGTTATATATAACCTTATGCATTGTAACCTCGCGGACATTTTGTGCGTAGTTATTTCTTTTTTGTAGGTATTTTTATAGATGATTTTTTACATATTACATGTAATCTCATGCGTTGTAATCTTGCGGACATTCTGTACGTGATTATTTTTTTTTATAGTTTTTTTTCATATTATATGTAATCTCGCAGACATTCTGCGCGTGATTATTTTTTTTGTAAGTATTTTTGTAGATGATTTTTTCATGTTACATGTAACCTCGCGGACATTCTGCACATGATTATTTTTTTGTAGGTTTTTTTTATATAGTTATAAATATATAAATATTCAAATAACTAGCTAATTTAGTATAAAATCTCATTTTTATTAAAATGAATAATAATAATAACCTTTCAGAAAGTGATAAATGTTTATTAACGCAGTTATCAGAAAATAATGAACCGTCAGTTGTTATTAAAAATAAAGCTTATTTTAAAGGTAATTTTTATGAAAACAAAGATAATGATTGGAAAGTTTCTGATATAAACACTTTTATTATAGAATTTGTTTTTGGTACGTATTTTTTTTTATTTTTTTAACAAATAATTTTTTAAGATAAATTAAAAGACAAATTAATTTTTTATTTTTTAGATGAGATGTTAAATAAAATTGTATAACAGATAAACGACAATAATTCCTCAAGTACCTCAAGTAACAAAGTAAAAAAAAAGCGGAATAAAGACTGATCAATTAAAAATTGAAAATAAATTTCGTCACTTTTTGGTTGAAAAAATAAAAAGAGAAAATGAAGAAGAAGAAATGTTTGATGGATTTGATGATGTTAAACAAATGGTAGATGAAAGTGTTATTGAACATAAACTCGAATTTATTATAAATTATATTCAAAATTATATTCAACATTCAAGCAATAAAGTTTCTTACTATAGAAATTTAATTAATTTACATCTTTTATATACAAAAAATAGTGAGGTTGTTTAAAAAAATTAATTAGTATTTTTGGAAATACGTCTAGTGGTAAGGTTAAAATACATAAATATAAAAAAATTGCAAACTGTTTTTACATATTAGCTAAAAGTTGTGCAAAGGATAAATAGATGGAATGTAACATTGGTCCGTCTTATTTACTTAATTTAAAAAAAGAAATATGAGATGTTCTTTTAAAAGAATATAGTATAAGAAAAAATAATAGTAGCAATAGTGAAGAAGGTGAATAATTTTTAAAAATAAACATTGCGTAGTCAACATAATAGATGGGTAAAAGGTCAAAATTTACCTTTTTAAAGTTTATTATTTTTTTTTTCTTTTTGATATTGATTTGAATGGGAAATTTATTACCTTTTATTTTTTTTTATTTTGTTTATAAATAAATCAATAAATCAATATTATCATTGCTAGAAAATTTAATCACCAATTATTTTATTATTATTATTATTAAAAAAATATCGATATATCTAAAGAAAAAAGATAAAAAAATAAAGATGTTTGAATTTGGCTTGTTTTTTTTAGAAATGGTTTATGATATTATTTTTCAAATATGGTTCATCTTTAATTAAGTCATAAATGATTCTTTATTGTGTTCTTTCAAATCTCCTGCAAATATTTTATATGTTTATGAATAAAAGGATAAAGCATTTCAATATGAATAATTTTCTTCCACCTCAATTTAAACAAAGCATATTTTTAGTTTAATTTCTTTTTCTTATATGGTGAAACTAACAGAAACTGACAGACCTGTCGAATCATATTTAATTTGAAGAAATGTAATTATTTAAATTTAATCATAAGAAATGAATATGAAATACTAAAAAAAAAAAAGAGAGAACAAGAATAAAAACAGAAATGTCAACCATATTGATAGCAACTCTTGAAATAATATTAGACAATTTAAAAGGCAAAATGCAACAATGTGCAAAAATTTTATTGAAAGATAAAAAGATAACAAAAATACATCAATATATATATACAAAAAAAATACATTTATAAGAAGCTATCTATGATAACTATTATTAGCTATAAAGATAAAGAGAGAGTGTATAGTCTATAAAATAGCCAAAATGACAATAGCAAAGCGTAGTTCTATAACAGACAAAATGTTAACAACATCTCTTTCTGATAAAATATTTAGTAATAAATTAATCATTAAGAGACATGTAATAAGAAAAATTAAATTCTTCACTTTTCTGATGAAGTTGCTCCAATATTCTTCTAAAGTTTTTCTGAATTTGGTTTAAATTATTCTGAAGATTTTGGACTGATTGGATATCTTCATAATCTTAAAGATGATTAATATCAGCTCTTGCACAATTATATTGAAATAGAAGGTTCTCATATTCACTTTAAGGTCTTGATATTAATGCCTATAATAAGATAAATGAGAAGATAAATGATGAATTTCATTAGATAAACTATCTACTTGAGACAAAGAGGAATTTAATAGTTGTTAAAGCCTGTGATTTTCAATATCAAGTTCATTTATTCTTTGCTATTTTGTTTCTTCTTCTTGATTTTGAAGGTTATATTGATGATGTGAGAAAAATTGCTTTTGAAAACTTTTGCCCATGTTGAAAATATAAAAACTGAAAATTTTGCAATAATTTTGAAAAGAAAGTGAAAAATTTGTGGAAAATAGGAAAAATTTTTGGATAAATATTTATACTTAAAAGAAGTGGTTATGAAAAATTCTCAAGACTATGAGAATTATTATTTTCTTGCATTGGATGACGGAAATCTATGGAACAAAAACCTGTTTAAAATTAGTGTAATTAATCAACATTACTAAAATTAGATGATCACGCAATGTATTTAATATAAAATTCAGGAAATTTTAGTAAGCTGCATAATTTTAAGAGTTTGACAAAATGCATGCAAAATAATCAAGGTGTTAATTTTCTTAAAAAAGGAATTACTTAGCATAATCAGTTGATTGAAAAAAAAAATTAATTTTAGATTCCTTAACTTCAAATCATAGTTAACTTATTCAACAGAAAGAGAACAATAGTAATTGATTGACATATATTATGGTTGAAATTCTTCGAATTTAAAGTTTCATACAGCTTGCACTAAGACAGATGATGACTTGCGAATGCCATATTTTGAATTGGAAGGTTCAAAACTATTCTTGCGTGAAGTATTGAATCATTTCAACATGTTTAATTTTCTTTCACCTTGATTTGAACAAAGCGTATTTTCAGTTTAATTTTTTTCCTTATATGGTAATCAATTGATATATATTACAGTTGAAATTTTTTGAATTTGAGGATTCATATAGCTTACGCTAAGACAGATGATGACTTGTGAATGCTATATTTTGAATCAGAAGATTCAAAACTATTCCTGTGTAAAGTATTGAATCATTTCAACATACTTAATTTTCTTTCACCTTGATTTAAACGAAGCGTATTTTCAGTTTAATTTCTTTAAATTAAAATAATACTAACCTTTTTTGTAAACAAAACAATTTTTATTTATGGTAATTGGTAAAATTGTTTTATTACACGTATTAATTAAATAAATTTAATTTTGGTTGGTTGAAATTATTTAGTTATACATGCATAATGTTAATCAAATTTTCAGGGTCAAATACAATCCTTTTTATTTATTTTTTTTCTGTTTTGCAAAAATTTCTCTCTTGATATTTTTTATTTTTATGAATTTTTTAATTTTTTAACGGTTTTTTTTTGTTTTAGGTTTATTTTTTTTAACTTTTTTGATGTACAAAGCTGCAGTAAAAGATAAATCAATTATGTAAACAAAATAGAAGTGTTTTTTTGAAAAATAGTTATTTATTATTTTATTTTTATTAGTTTTTTAATAAAAAATAAGAAGAAAAATTGTTAAAAGACGAGACATGAAACGAGATGATATGAGATATAATGAAATAAAGTTATTTAAGGACATCCTGTAGTTGCGAAAAAGTATAAATAAAGCATATTACTTTAACGGATAATTTCTATGAAATTATTTAAGAATGTTCTATTATATATACTAATTTTTTAAAACTTTATAGCAGTCTCAATTTTAATAACATTATCTACTCACAATCATTTTCTTTTGAATGCAAAATTATAACAAACAATTCGTCAATAGAAAGAAATACTTCAAATATATTTTCAGATAATCATCATCGTCGACCTCTCTTTCCTGTTCTATTCTGTAAACTAATTTTACACTATTTTGATTCCTGTTATAGGTAAATTTTTTCAATAATATAATTTTTATTTTATTGTTAAAAAAATATTATCATAATATTCGTTATTTTATAATTATTTTTTTTTTTTTTTTTAGAAAAAAAAAAGAGTTCAAAATGAATGAAATCTGTTGGTTATTTATTTTAAAGTAAAAGTTTTGACCTACAACAAGAGATTGAGTCACCAATACTCAATATGAGTTTTGACTTTGCAGATGTACTTTCAACCACTAATATATGTAAGGAAAAAGAGAAGTATAACAAATAGTTCAAAAATAAGAAGCCTATTCACAAAGTAAATAATTCAAAGCAAGTTAAAAAGGAGTTTACAATAATAGCGAAAGCTGCAATAACATCAATATTACCACCACCTTCACTATCTCTACCATCACCATCATTACCATCGTTACCGCCAACAACACAATTACAACTACTATATTTTATATCAGAAGGTATAAGGTTATCAATTGATCATAACTTGTTCGTTTCAACAAAATCCTATTACTTATGACTATAGCTTTTATAAGGCTTAGATGAAAGATATTTATAATATGATATATTTTAAATTAAGAAAGACAACCCTAATTTTTATACAAAAAATTGGCTCTAAAAATATTTAGTGATGTTGAAGATGAAAAGGTATTAATAAATAAGTGAAATATATTTAGGATATTAATATGCAAGGAAGAATTTATATGTAAAATATCAAAATTCATTTCATTTTATGATAGGTAAAAGATGTCTTAAAAAATTCTCATCACAGAATTTGAAATCTATGGCTTGATAGATGACTTGAATTGAATCATAGTTGTAATACTTTTTGGAATCAATGATGCTTATCAAACAATATCAAATTTTGACTTGAGAATTTGATGTTTTAAATGATTAAAAATCAAAATATTCTTAAAAACTTATAATTTTAATGAGTTGTACTTAAATTATTACTTCTTTTGGAAGGTTAAATAAAGGAATATGATTATAAAAGAAAAAGACAAAACTGCATTTTTAGTTAATTCTTCATATTTATAAATAAGAAAACCAATTTTAATTTTGATAAGCTTTGATTTACAATAAAAGATTGTCTTAATAGGAGTTTTAATTTTATGGATGCATTTTTAGTTATTAATACAGATTGATAGCTTCTTCTTATATAATAATAGTAGTCAAATAGTAGTTTAACAATTAAAATAAGATTATTCTGCTCCTTTTTTACAATATATTTTATTAAAACTTTTATTTATAATTAAGGTTATCACAAAATAAATTGATAAAAATTTGTTTTTAAAATAATATATTAATTATTATTAAATTACTGAATAATGTAAATGATAAATAGTGATTATTGTGAAATTATAATATAGTGTTATTCAACTGTCAATTATGTAGACTGAAATACTTAACAGATTGAGCAATAGTTAAGGTTAGCTTAAAACTTAAATTCGTCTAGAAAAGTCCTTACTTAAATTCTTA